CGCAGGCTCAAATGTAACCACCATCTCTAGCACGTCAGACAGAGAGTTCCTTCACTAATAAAAGGTTAGAAAGGGGAGAAATAAGGAGAAATTACGCAATGCTTAATATTTCGCAGTCAAAAAAGGGCTAAAAGGACCCCACACTAGAAGGAAGGAAGCCAGTAACGGCTTAAACCTAATAATCATTTGTTCGTTGCATCTCTCCTTTTTGCACTGTTCTTAAAAATCGTAGGGATCAGACAACGGCGGTCAGTTGCTTCATTGCGTCCCTCACTATTCTAATTTCGACGTTCATTTACAAAGGGGTAAAGTTTATAAATTCACTAACGTATCGCGACAAAAATTTAATTCGATGGGCTTTACACAAACTCTGTTCGATTTGAGATTGAGTCTACTGTAAACGTTTGTCTGTTTAGATTTATTGTAGAATAAAAATATGCATTGGTTATTAAGTTTACAGCACGAACGTACGTCTACAGATCGAGGGGAATAGCTAGCCAAAAATGAAAATTTTAATTGTATAATTACCACCAATGTGAACAAAAGTTGTTCGAATTCACTAACTTTAAAGACTGAGGCCTAGGTCAAAGGTCGAACTTTTCACGAGATGAACCAAACTCTGATTTGGGTCGACCTAAATTAAGTTAAGATCGTTTGTTGGGTCAGACGTCGAACTTAGGATGCGTCGAACCAATCCTGATGTAACTGAATCAGATCAGTAATAAATTTTCTCCCGAAAAAGGCTAAATATACATTATCATACAAAATTTTTATTTATTAGTTTAGTTCGTATACTTTATTGTAATTGTTACATGTAGTTATAGTTGTAAGGCGCATTTGATCATATTCAGATGTTAATTTGCGCCTAATAAGAAATAAATTATTATTATTATGTAAAGATCCACGTTTTTAACTATAGTTAACTATAGTTATACTAAATTTGTATTTAGTTTTCAATTTGAGAAGAGTTTAAAAAAGCATGCTTTTTGATTAAAGATCCACGTTTGTTTCGTAGACGATCTTCATACGTTCTATCCGTCTGAAGCACACGAATAGAAAGTGTTGAACGATCCAAACCGGCATTCAGACGTACTTAACTGAACCATGAACTTAACTCACGAGGTTTGGTTTGTCTCACGAAAAGTTCGAGTTTTGGCATAGGCCTAAGTCAATTCGGGAAAATACAAAGTTTTGACTTTCTTAAAATTGTTCTTTCGGTGTTTGGTAATCAAGAGTCACACACTTTTTAAAAAGGTGTCAGACGCACCAATTATAATTTTTAAGCTCAATTTTTTCAGGGCGAGGTTGAAACGAGCTGGTGATGATTTTCAGTGGTATATTTTTGTCCAGCTTGATGAAACGTTCATCACGTTCATTTCATGCAAATCGAAATGAAAATGCTTATAGCTGCTCTAATTTCAGTTCGTTAAAATTTTAAGATTTACCTTTCTTATGAATAAGATTCTAATACAAGAAAGAGCTTGTTCAAAACGAATAACTTTTGGACTTGAAGTTTTCACAGAGTAAAAACGTTCCCGACGGCAGTTTAAAACAACTGATTTCAAACGGTAGGTATTGTCAGAGTCACATAGTATCATACGGCCTGTCAATCATGACTCTATTCCATCACAAGCAGTAAGAAATATATCCATTCTTGTTTAAGCATCGTTTTAAAAAATAATAAATAACGAATCAGAGGTAGCACATCAACAGAGTGGTTCTTTGTCTACCATTCCTGGTCGAATTCGAGGTTTGGAAATGCTAGATTTTGAGGAGGGAAAAAACCGGGATGCCTGGAGGAAAACCTGTTGGAGCAATGCAGAGAACCAACAACAGACTCAACCCAATACAGTGTTTACAACACGCACGTTTTACCTTGTAAACTAACGCATGCGCACACTCAAATAATTCGGTCTTAATGAGAGAATTTTTACACTTGTACAAGCAAGGCTTCCTGGGAGGACTGTAACTCGAAGATGACAAAAACAGGATGCCCATCGGGAACACTGAACTGTGCCATACGGGAACTGACGTGCTCTGCCGGTAGACTCACAAAAAGGTTTTTTTACAGAGATGTGGCACCAAGGAGAGGAAGTGTCAGCCAACAGACCACCCCTCTTGTCCTGGTTCGACTTCTGGACTTTCAGCACTTAGGGCACGTATTGTTCTGGAAACAACTGTAACTCAGGTCCACTGAACTCAAGACCAGCAGCGTATTAACAGAAATTTTGATTTTGCTCACACTCTGAGGTCTTTTTACCTTGTCATGCATGTATCCAAAAGTTAGGAGTTAATGACCAAGGGTGAGGTCAAGATGGCTGGATGCGACCTGGCCCGCCGCTAAATAAAAACAAAAATAAAAATAGAAATAAGAGACTGCTCTTTTAAATTTTTATAAGGACCAAGACGAAGTCGAGGTCAATAAAAACACCAAGAAAAGGTTAATATCCAACCCGATCATGACTGAGGCGAGCTTGGTCATTATATGGCTATTTTTTTTTTCTTGCGGAACAAATCGGGTAACCAATCAGAGCGTACCATTCGCTTCATCAACGTCTGAGGCCATATCCGAGCTAGTTTGAACAACTCTCACTTTCAAAATAGGGCTGAATGCAAAACCGAACTTTTGCATGAGAATAATAAATCATTTTCTTTTATATCAATGGCTTCGATTCGCTCTCAGACAAGAGACTGTCTTTAAAACAGAGGCTTGGGGAAAATGCCCTTACAACGAAAAGTGATCAGCATTTAATTTCTCCATATAACATCATTGTATATAAAAACAAGCGTAGATTAAAAGCTTATAAGAATAAAGAAATTGATCACAAACTCAACACTCAGACTTCTTAATTTCTAAACAAATTCTCCTCAGTACTATCAATACATGAAGAACACTGTGCAGGATATGCTAGGATATGCACGGGTATTTAACAAAAGCCCACATTCGATATATTAAAATTCTAACATGACTCCGAGGCTTTCTGCTCATGTTTCTATATTTGTTTTGGTTTTCTTTGTGCTCTAGTCTCTTTAAGGAATTGCCAGACAAAAGAGTCGATCTTGAAAAATTTACAATTTTGGCCCTAAAGCCTCGGAGTCATGTTAGAATTTTGATATATCGAATGTGGGCTATTGGTTCATGCATCAGCTTGCGTGTATCGAAGACACGAAGGACGCGGGCACGAAGGAGGCGTTCGAGTTGCTCAATCACAAAGGCATCAAACGGGGAAAAAATGCAAGTTGAGATCTGGGATTGAGAAATTAAGGGCCTGTTTGCATAAAGGTGGGGGACCCCAGGTCGGTGAGGTAACATAGGGCGGGTTACCCCACCTAACATGTAAACGTGATCAAATTAAAATGAGAGATTATACGGACAGGCGGTTTACCCCTCCTAAACAGGGAATACCTTGCCTACCTGGGGTCCCCCACCTCCATGTAAACATGCCCTAATATTAAAGTTAGGTTTAAGCTAACTTTGTTTGTTTCGATTTATTGTAGTATGACGAAACGACTATAGGTACTAAGATCACAGCACTTATACGTCTAAATCTCTAACTTGTGTTCTATCGAAAGTACAATTTTAACTGAGCTGTTTAATAAGAGAAAACAGCCGACGATTCAAGGCGCCCTCATGGTTCGGGAGGCAAGGGTGAAAGAAAAGTGTGATGCACGTGCAGACCTTAGATGTTTAGCTCATACAACCATTTAATTAGCTGAGGCAACGCCCGGTGAACATTAGGCTTAAAGCTGAACATTATTGATCATTAGTTGCTTCTCTCTAGAGTTCGGGAACTAGAGTCTCGTCGGATCCGTGGGATCAACCATTAAAATCATGGCGGTCAATTATTTCAGTGTGTTCTTTAGCATTGTGGTGTTGACGATCATTTCACAAAGGGGTAAGTTGTAGATTCGATAATATTTAGCGACGATTTCATAAATAAATGAACGAAAAGCACAAGACAAGCAAGAAATTTAAAATTTAGATCTCAAATCGTCTTCCGAACAGATATTTTCCGAATTAAAATTGACGTTGGGAGCGCCTGATAGAACGTGTTGGACGATCCAAACCGGCATTCAGACTAACTTAAATGAGCTATGAATTAAACTCACTAAGTTTGGTTCGTCTCATGAAAAGTTCGATGTTTGGCCTACGCCTGAGTCAATTCGGGAAAATACAAAGTTTTGACTTTCTTAAAATTGTTCTTGAGATCTCTTGGATCGATATGATTTAACCGTCAGCTTTGTCTGTTTCGTATAGAATGCCGAGTAGATGGGCTATTAGGTTTGCATTGCATAAAAGACAGCGAAGAATGTAACAAAGACTGAATTACCAATAACCAGTACTGGTCGAATTGGAACAAAATTTGGATTCGGTTGGATTATGAGGACGGGAGAAACCGGAGAAACCTCTTGGAGCAAAGCAGAGAACCAGCAACAAACTCAACCGACATATGGCGTCGTCGCTGCGGGATTTGAACCCGGGGGGGGGGTACTACCTTATGAGGGCTTAATGAAGAAGTGCGGCCAGCCAGGGTATGTTTTTCGGGATTTTTGTCTTAAAAAGGTATCGAATTTATCATTTTTTGTCTTAATCAGGGTATCGATTTATCAATTTTTGTCTTAAACAGGATATCTTTTCTTGGACGATAAACAGCAAAATTTTTACAAGCTCTAATGTTAATGTCTTAAACAGGGTATCAAAAATCGGAATTCTGTCTTAAACAGGGTAGGAAAATCAGCGATATTTGTCTTAAACCGGGTCAGGGTATGAGGGGCCGCGCCGCACCTCCCCACCCAGGGATATATCGAGTACCCCCCCTCCAGGGATTTGAACCCTACCAACATTGCTGGAAGGCGAGTGCCCTCGCACCACCTGCTCCCCCGAATCCTCTCGTTAGGCCCATTTACCAAGAGTCATAAAAACACACACTTTTTGCGTTTTATGCATATATCAAAATGATTCGTTCCTAAAAAAGTCTGTTTTTCTTACAGTTTCCTGCCTGAGTTGTTACACTTGTACGAGCAACGTTTCTTGGGCGGACTGTAACTCGAAAATGACAAAAACAGGATGCCCATCGGGAACACCTAATTGCGCCAAAAGCTTAGACACATGCTTTAAGGCCGGTGGAGTCAAGAAACAGATCTTCTTCAAGAGATGTGGCACCCAAGGAAAGACCTGCCAGCCTAAAAAGAGTCCCTCTTCCTGTACTGGTTCAAAGTTTATTTCAGCATTTGGTTTCAGCTCCGAGGACACCTGTTGTTATGGAAACAACTGCAACTCGGGCCCACGGTATAAGGTCAGCAGCGCACTTATGGGAGTTTACATTTTATTGGTTTTCTGCGGTCTTCATTCTTTCTTTACATTTTAAGCAAACATTAAATGTAATACTGTAGTTTGTCAAGGCTAGCTTCAAACTTTAAGTAAGACTGCTCTGCGTAGTAATACGCCTTGTATTTTTATAAAAGGAAAGGCTTCTGAATCGCAAGACCGGCTTGTCAACGTTGCATCTTGTTATTATAACTCATCAACCTGTAATTAAATAATTATAACAATTAAAAGGTTTTTTCTGTAAGCAAGTAAACACTCATTTATGGAGTAAAACATCCTTAAATAGAAACCGTGTTTGTTTTAATCATTCATTGCCAATAGGCCTTTCTCACGCGGCGGCCCTTTTGTCTCAGGGGATTTAAAATGCTTTGTTTATGCACGGCTAGCCTCGTTATGGAACTATAAAATATTTTTGTTTGTTTCGTTTGTTTGCATGTTATTTCCATTCAAGCTCCCAAAATGTAATCTAGAATTGTGCTACATTTATTCTCGCAAATACAGTGTAATTGTAAAATCGTTTCAGTTTTAAAGCTATTTTGGGTTTGGTGGCGGGGGGGTGGGGGTACTCCCTATAATGGCCTATGGGGAGGGTTCGTCCAAATTTGGTACGCCAAATTTTGGTACCTTTTTCATGGTTCAGGTACATGAAAGGGTAGGGATTTCACAGATTGAGGTATTTGAAAGTTGGGTAGGGAAAACTGTCGTTTCAGTCTCTTAAAGGCCCCAAAAGCGCTGAGAGATGCATTTTATGGCTGTGAAAAATCACGAAAACTCAGTGAATTTACAGCAGGTAGAAGGGGATGCAGGGTTTAGTAAGTATGTGAAAGGAGTACCAATTAGTAATAAAAGCTATACAAAAGAGGTACATTTCTTGACAAAGTTGTTGTATAAACAGGGTTAGACCTCGGTGCAAAGCCTCCCCTGTACAAAACTTTGTTGAGTACCCCCGCCCGGGTTTGAGCGATTTCCAAAAAACAAGGAGGCTGTCAATGAAATCTGGGGAAGTAATCAAAGTAAAGGGCTCCTGAAAAGGAATATATCCCTAAAAAAAGCTTCGACTGACTAAAAACTGATCTTTCGGTGTTTGGTCAGCATTAGACGTTACACTCCTTTCTAAATTATATCAGACGCATCAAGTTTTTAAACATCCTATTTATGAACGACTTTATTTTCGAGGCGAGGCTGAAACGAGCTGAGGTGATGTTTTCCCGAATTGGATGAAACGATCATCACACGTTCATGCCGAAAATGATAATGAAAATGCCTATCGTTCTAGTTTCAGTGAAGCTAGAACTTTGCTAAAAAATTTCCGTCAATTTCAACATAAGATTTCTTACAGAATAAGGCTATCCTCTATTTTTCTCCGTTTAGCGTCGTCCGACCAACCCAAATTTTTGTGGTTTTGAAAAAAAAAGTAGCAACGTAGTTAAACCATTTTTCACTTGAAATAATCCTTTTAATCTGAAAAATGAGCATAGTAACAGCATAGAGAAAAACAGGAACAAAAACAGGGACATTTTTTACCGTATATTGGGCATTTTGTTAATCCAAATTTTTAACGTCATCCTGGGGTACCAGGACCTCCTATTCCGAGACTTCTTGTGATTTTTTTTAGTTTTTTTTTCAAACCGACCGACCGATCCAACATCAGAAAATGCATTCGACGCTAAATAGATAAAAGAAAGAACATTCAAAAATAGTAAATTTTGGACCGGGTGAAAAAACCTTAAGTAAAAACTTACTTTTTCTTTTGTTCGAATAAATTTGCATAGTTGCTTGCCAAGTGGTGTGTGAAAACGCTTTGTATGATAAACAGCCTTTACCTTGTTTCAAGCTCCGTTATCACGTGTATTGTAAGAGCCAATAAGAAAACACTTTTGAAATAATCACGAGGCTAGTCTGCGGCGCCAAGTTCAAATTTAAAATTCTGTGATAACATGTTTATATTAGATGGCGGAGGAAGACATAAAAACGCATGATGCTATAAACATGTCTTCTTGGCTCTTGGGGAAGATTGCTCTTTCACAAACCAGTCCGTCTCGTCTGTCTTTACTTTACTGCAGTATGTGTGTGGAAAAGCGTTTCTGAGTTGACTTAATAAGGAGATGAAATTATGAAAAGCAAAGTCGTCAAAGGTAGGTACTGGCGTCCATTTGAATTTTAATGAAGTTCGGCAGTCTATTTGCAACTAGTCTGATATTTAAAGTGCTCAGTAAACAGGACATTCTTCTATTTAATTTTTTTAGAATTTCATTTGATAACGCTGCGAATTATTGTAATTGCTGTTCATTGCAGGAATTGCAAGAGGTAAAATTTAAAATCACTAAATCAAGATGCACATCAGTGATGAATGCAGCGCCCTCACGAAACTATCATGGAATTAAACAATTCAACTTTTAGAAGGTAAGAAGCTATTCTTCGTAAGAATATAGGACAAGATTTCCGCAGTATAACCCTATACATAAATTATGCATACATCTATTGTTCAAAGAAAACAAATAGGCAGAACAATACTAAGCCTTTGGGATTTCATGTATTATTTAAAAGATATTCCTTTTTTTATTATTTTTGTAACGCAGCATGAATGGAGCTGTTTTAAACATGAAATAATATCTTTTTTTCCTTGATTTGCACAAAAGTGTGGTCCGTTTGAAGGTGATTATAAAATTGTCGCAGTCTTTCGCTAAATGAAGGACACAGGAGTGTTATGAGAAAAGGGAGAAACGATCCCTCTAAGAAAAAATAACATTAATTAAGAAGAAAAAATGGGATTATTCTCTTGTGTTTTAATGAATTATTCTCCCAGCCAGAATAAACAAGAGGTAAGCCTGGTAAAGGTTTGTTCACCCATACTACTGATAGTGGCATTTGCCCATCCACTGTGGCGAACACCTAAACACCTTTGCAACCCTGGTCTAATCTCCGTGGCAAGAACCATTAATAAAAACTTCTTCAGCTAAAAGAAATCAAGCGTTGGTTGAATGCACTCTAGTTGCTCTGCCTCGAACAAATTCCACTTAGAAATTTATCAGAGTTCAAGCTAGAAACAAAGAAACTACCGCTCACTTTTATGACTATTAGATTCTAGTTTCGATCAAGTCTTTTATTGAACAAAAGTCAGCGTTAATGCAGTACGACCACTACAGAGAGATGGAAAGGAAAACGACTTCAAAAGATGGTAAGTAAATTCTATTCATAAATCAACGTTATTCAACTTACCCTTCTTCTGACAAATTATGGTCTTCAAAGGCATCTCAGTACATGTATCAAAATAACAACAGTGAGCGTGCATAATTCTGCAAACGATCGGATGCAGTAGTTGTATAGTAAATGTCATCGTAAAAACAATGGAAAATAAATTCATTGACATCAAATGAGTAGATCGTTTTCAGTCACGTGGTCAGCAGCTTTGCAAATTGCTTGGAATGAAAGAAAGTTTTAACATGTGAAAAGAGTTCAATTCCCACAGGACTTTTTTTGTACACAAACATGGCCGCCGATTCATTGTTTTGTACAAAAACATGGCCGCCGATTCATTGTTTTGTACACAAACATGGCTGCCGATTCATTGTTTTGTACACAAACATGGCCGCCGATTCATTGTTTTGAACACAAATATGGCCGCCGTGACGTCATGTGAAAACGATCTATAACACAACTCGTTTTGGTTTCTTCTTATTCAAGGCAACTAAGCTTAAATGTGAAAGCATTCCTATAGTATCTTTGACAAGACTCCTGATTTGATCAGACCACTCTGTTCATCATCAGAAATTCCGTTCGTAGCTCACTACTTTGAGAAGGCTTTTCGATAAAGTACACTCGAAAGAATTTCTACGTAAAGTTGCCCTCTCGTAAAGACAGTCAGTCCGTCGAAATGAACCGTACCAAACGTACGCTTGCCATGGCTTTTAGTGTAGGTTTACCGACGAACAGCGTGTGCATGTGGTATATAATCTCGTGCCCAGATCTCACTCTGTTTTCCCTTGGCCGTGGGAGATCTGGGTACGAGATTATGTGGTATAAATTAAGGATAATCTCGTACCCAGATCTCCCACGGCCAAGGTGTAAAACAGAGTGACATCTGGGCAGGAGATTAAATTAAGGATATCGCGTATAAGAAATTACAGAATTTATCCTTGCGATTCACTGAGTGCACCAGAGACACTGAAGACTAATGGCTTCGCTCACCTCAGGCATCTACTAAAATCCGCTGACCTATTTTACAGTCTTACGCACGCGTTGAAAAGACGCGAGAGAGAGAATTGTGCCAGAAGGAAAAACCGAGCCCATTTTTAAACTCGGGCGTTCCTATGGAAGCCCGAGTAATAAATCGATTTTGCGATCCCACAAAAAGTTTTATTCAACCTTGTTCCAAGGGCCTCGCTTTTTTCAGGTTGCCCGGGGAACTCCGATCCAGATGACTGAGGACAAGGTTGACACCAGCCCATTATAAATCTTGTAAGTTTCACGGCTTATAATCACCGATTGTACTACGGTCCCGGAATAGCTTCAAACATAGCGACTCGCGCTCGTTTCGCACTTCCCGCAATGCCGCGTTCGCCTCGCTTGGTTCATAGTTATAAGCGCCTGCCTGTTATGTAGGCTACATAATACAGCCAAAAGGGAAATTCTCTACCTTCAGGGAGAGGGAGGGGGGGCGATAACCTACGGAAATCAAAATAAATGGCATTAATCTCATACAGGAGCCCATCTCATATCATTTTACGCAGGTAAGGTGAGATCTCTCTTATATCTTATCTCGACTCGACAAAAGCTTAGCGTACCAGGTACTTTTATCCCCAAACACCGACCTGATAAAGCGCGAGCTTGAGTTGAGCCTTTCCCTAGAAAAAAACTTCCAAAGTCTTCAATGATGGCAGTCAATTGGTTTCGAGCATTCTGTGTTATTACAGTGGCCATAATCATGTCTCCGAGAGGTAAGCAGTGCTCCAACTTCATACTAATTGGAATACGTTACTAGAAGTTAGGGCCTTTTGTTTTTGGTAGTTCTTCCCCTTCTTTTTTTCCCTTTTCAACATGGTTATTTATCAAAGTAGACATGATCATATCTCCAAAGGATAAGTTGCTCAAACGTTAAACCATTTTACGTATCCAAGGGGGTAGCGAATGCATAGTACCTCAAAAAACGTGGATCTCGGAAAATTATGGCCCGATCTTAAGAATCTCGGAAGCATTTTTGATGGTTCTCGAGCGCGATTTCTCGTTTTCGATTGATATTTTGAGTCTCAAGTCTCAAAGTGTTTTGCTAAAGGCAGCTAGGAGGGAGTCTAGTTTTCAAATTTCAAGGGCACAACTTATCAAACTGAGAGAAGATAAAAGATCATAGAAGACAGTGTCGCACAATCCCCTCGGGCCCGGAGGGGTACTCCCTTATATAAGCCATGTAGGTATGTGCCGCCCTTAAGGGTGGGGTATTGGGGCCTTTTTGGTCTGAAAACGTGTGTACACTTCGCCCATTTTGGTCTGGAATCGGGTATGGTTTTCGAGGGAACTACGGGAGCGTATGAACGTATTTATCGTTCCAAGTCGAAATGAATTAGAAAGAAATAGAAATAGACGAATTCGAAATGCATTTGAAGAAATTTTTTTTGTTTGCGCTCTAATCTAAGTAATTATGACATAATTTCTGCCTAAAGGCCGGGTCTGAAAACGGGTCTGAAAAAATGACTTTTTTTGGTCTGAAGTAGGATCAGGATTTGGAGAACCGTGCTGCACCCCCCCAAAAAAATTTCCCAGGAGTACTCCCCCCCCGGGGGCGCACAAACCGCATCTTGGGTTAAATTTGCTCGCGGCCGCTCTAGTTCATGTCACTTCTTTTTCTTGAGACTGGTCCTCGAGCTCGGATTTTCTTAAATCGCCGGGAAGTCTCGGGCTCAGGATTTTTAAAAGGACAGGCAAGGATCTCGGTGAATCTTGGATTTTATCTCGCCACCCTAATTAGAAGTTCAGGCCTTTTGTTCTTGGTAGTTCTTCTCTTCATTTTTGCAGTTAGCATGTCAGTCCTTATCGACTGCAATCATATAAACAACAGTGATAACTCAGTGACACTGCTGTCACTGGACCCACTGCGTCCCCTTTTCTAGAGAGCAAACATGTTTGTGGTGGTTTTCAAAACAAAAAAGCGTTGTTTATCTGATCATAGAAGGGGTATCAAATGCCGATCAAATGGTACCTTGATTGAAATTTTAACGCTCACACAAAATTTGTCCTTTGCTGCTCGATGTAGCTCAATAGATGGATTTGTGATTCGCGAATTCACTATTTTCATCATTCGCCAGAACAGTTAACAGACACTTACCGATCAACACGCTAAACTTCAAGTGGTGACCATTTATTTATCACAGAGTTCTTTTCAACCGCTTTAGGTTGTTTGTTCCACTGCAAGCGAGGATCATATCCACTTTCATAAGAGGAAAGATTGTTTCGCAGTTAGTTACGCTATTTTATTGTCACTGTTATATCATAAAATTTCAATTGACAGCATTATAATTAAAGTGAGGTGGTTGCATTTTGAAATTGATTCCAGTTTTAAGAATAACGCCAATTTTTCTTTTTGTTTTAAAAATGCAACTTCCTCATGTAGACATAATAATGGTTGAAATTACAGCCCTGACTTATAAAAAATGGAAACTATTTTTCTAGTTGTTTCTGCAATAGATTCATAATTTAATATGTTATGATGAACCACTACCCTTACTCGCAGCACTCAGCTTACAATTTGTAACCTCTATTTTTTTTGTATTTACTTCAAACCTTTTTCAGTCAATTGTCTGAGTTGTTACACTTGTACAAGCGACGATTCCTGGGCGGACTGTAACTCGAAGATGACTAAAACAGGATGCCCATCGGGAACACCGAATTGCGCCAAAAGCTTACTGACGTGCTCTGCTGGTGGAGTCACCAAAACGTTTTTCTACAAGAGATGTGGAACCCAAGGCAAGGACTGTCAGCCCACAGCTGCACACCTCCCCACTTGTCCTATTTCGATGTCCGGATTTGGTTTCAGCTCTAATGACAAGTGTTGTACTGGAAACAACTGCAACTCAGGTCAACTGAATAAGATCAGCGGCTTATTAACAGGAATTTCTATTTTTCTGGCATTCTGGGGTCTTTTTACCTTTTAAGGTGATCCGCGACTTTTTTTAAGCACATGAAGACTGATTTATTTAGATATGCAGTAATACATTCAAGATTTAAAGCGGTAATTGCCCTATAGAGATAGAAAATTTTGTTCTTATGAATTTTCTGAATTGAGAAATTTATTTTTTGATCTTAATTTTGTAGCGTGAAAAAAAACCCTTAGATTTATAGCGAGCCTGCAGTGATTAACCGTTCCAGGGAAACTTTAGTTTTCCTCTTGAACCATGGTTAAATAACCCTCAAATGATGTTGGCCAAATAACAATTGCACATCCCAGGAAGGTCTGAGCACTTAGTAATTATTAGCCCCTAAGAGGGATCAGTACCTGTTTTCTTCATAAAGTATAACTGCGTAATCAGACGGTAAAGGTTACGAGAATAAAGAAAATAATCACCAAGCAAACACTCAGAGTTTCTGATTGTTGAACAAATTCTCCTCATCACTGCCTACCATACGAATAGTGTAAGGAACATGGCTGCCGATGTTTAGCAAATATTTATCGGAGGAGGCTAAGTATGACCTGAAGAATTAGGGAGATCGAGGAGGAAGGCATTTCGCCCTCAACCGCTCACATCACCCTCCGAGATCTGAGGAATGGGACAAAAGGGTTTGAATTTATTTACGATAACGATACCTGCTTCTAGCCAAATTTCACTGAATTACTGTGCAACCTTAGTCATCCTAAGCCAATTCTTGCATCTTGAAGACTTGAAGCAATTTTTTTTTGCTGTAAAAAATGACACCAATACCAGCGCGAGTTATTTTTATCAAATTTATCAGTGCAACAACTCAGGACAATTCCACTCGAATTTCGCTTTAAAACTGAAACAACACTTAAACGAAAACAGTAACGGCTTAAAGCTTCGAGATAAAGCTGATCATCACATATTCGTCGCTTCTCTTCTGTGGCACCGATTAAAGAACCAAGGATCAAACGATGGGGACCGCTTACTTCAATGTGTTCTGTACCATTGTGGTCTTGATGATCATTTCGCAGAGGGGTAAGTTTATGGAAGCAATAACATAAAAAGACGAACACATATTAAACAGATAAAAAGTACAAGCTTAGAGCTTGGATCGACAGTAATTGGTTTTACGTAGCTTCGTCTGTTTCGATTTAATATTAGATTGGTGATATTCCTGGTGGTCAGTCGAGAAATGTAACAAAAAAATTGTAAACCACTTGCGTCCTATACAGTACAAAAAAATTGTTCGAAACTAAAACAACACCCTCTTCTTAGCGTAAAGAAACAGCCTTTCAGTTGGTAGGGACTTTATACGATCAGACGACTCAATGGCAACGGGAGAATGTGAAGAAATAGGTTTAGAAGGCAAAACAACAACTTTGCACGTGCATCACACCCTTTTTACGTCGTGAAAATTCCCTATTTTTTAATTTTTATTTTTATGGAGGACATAGATATTAAGCGACGACGAAATTTTATTTCTCTATCTGAGCTTGGATAGGGATCCTAGCAATTCAAATCCAGGGGGATTCGCTGCGTTTGATAAAAAATGGGTAGGAATAATAGCGGTGAAGACTAAAAGAACGTAAATTCACTTGTTAAGGGACGTTTTTACCTGCTATCGCGTCGTCGGATCATAAAGTTCCTTGTAGCGCCGAGAAACGTCGACCGTTTTCTCAGGCTACCTTCTGCTTAGCCCCCTTAAAAAAGGACAATAACAATTCCGCTTAACGTTGAAAACTCAGACTGGATTTTTTCAGTATGTTTTCGAGCTTGCAACATGCAAAATCATGATACGGAAAAGCTTGTAACCCTAGTTTTAGCTTGGGTAGGGCAAAGGTTCTTGGCCATTTTTGTTGGCTTACTGAGTTCTCGTCAATTTAAATTTCGTCAATTTAGAAAAAAAAAAAATTCAGGAGTTTCAGTTTTCACAGAGTGAAAGGTATTTTCTGTCACAGGACATCATGCAACCTGTCAATGAATCACTCTATTCCCCCTGCTGCAACTAAGATAGAAACCCGATCTCTCTAATGCGCGTCAGTTCCATGCTAGACACCTGACCAAAACGTTTTTCCTTTCACAGGTATTCGCATTAAAATGATTCACTCATAAGTTCATTACATTTTTTTATTATTTAAGTTTCTTGTCTGAGCTGTTATACTTGTACAAGCAAAGATTCCTGGGAGGACTGTAACAGGAAGATGACTAAAACAGGATGCCCATCGAAAGCACCGAATTGCGCCAAGGGCAACCTGACGTGCAATGTGGTCGGTGGAGTCAAGAAAAAGGTGTTCTACAAGAGATGTGGCACCCAGGGCAAAAACTGCCTACCTGAAAACCAGCCGTCCTGTGCTGGTTTTGTATTTTCCTACAAACGGGAAAGCATCTGTTGTACTGGAAAGAACTGCAACTCAGCCCCACGGGAAAAGGTCAGCGGCGTACTTAGAGGGTTGTCCATTTGCCTGGTCCTTTGGAGTCCTTAATTTCTTTTGATTTTGTAGTAAACATTTCGTGTTATTGAGGTTCTTTAAGTCTCTGAAAGAGTTTAAGGAAAAAAAAGGCGTAGCCTCTCACGTGGTATCCAGCTCCAGTGTTCAAGATAGTACTGAAAGTGCACAGATCGTGTCACTTGACGTAGTTTAATTTCACGACGTCCCTACTAACTAAGAGCCTAGCACAGGCTACCCACCTTGACTTGGGCCTCATGGTTATGAATGTCTCCTGCAGAGCTAGCATAAATTCGCATTTTCAGTCCTTGATCAATGTATTTACGCTAGGTCTAATTTTCGATAGGTCTAAAGGTTTGTTGGTCATTTTCAGAATTATAAAATTAGAATCACTTTTAGAGGCTCGAGACGGCTTCAGTCTCTGCATTCAGTAAGGGTCATCAGGCCAGTCAATTCGGGGATCAATCTGGATGTTTGAGTCCAAGGGTATCTACCTACAACAAAAAAGGTACTGTTATCAGGCAAAGCCTAAGGAAAAAACTAGGGCATTTCGATCCAACAATGCTTTTCGGCGTACGTGTGCGATCCCGCCTCTAATATGGAGCGCAAGCCTACCACATAAATGAAGAAAATGTCAGAAAATTTGAGACCTGTTGGATGGAGATGATGAGGCAAATGGTTAATGGTGGATGGAGTAGACTCCCAACTCCTGAAGATGCAGATGATACAGAATTCAGACTCTGATACACCAACACACGCATTCTACATGTAACAAAAAACAACAGTCTCAGAAAGCCAATATTTAAAATGTACTGGTCATGTTTGCCGTTGTCCAAACACTAAGCTGACAAAGAAGATGCTGTTTGCGAAGTCTAGGCGTCCATATAAACGGGACCCTTGGAGAAATATCGCTAAATCATTAAATGTCTTCATTGAGCAGGCAAAGAGGTCTACACTAGATAAGAGTGGTTTCGCTGCTCTGGTCGACCGTGTATTCGCTGGAGTGTAACTCCAAGGTAAGAGGTTTACCGTCCGGAGGATTGTAACTATACTGTACTGTACAGTCTGTACTGCTCAGAGAGTCCCTAATAAGGCTTTTCAATCTCGTCATCCCTACGCAAGAGTTCGCGCAATCCCGTAATCCCGGGGGTTATTTTTGGTATCCCACCTTCCGTGCATACTTTCAATCCCGAATCTCACCCCGATTTTGCTTTAAAATCCCGAATCCCGAGCTTTAAGGGAATTTCCGGATCCCGTAAAACTATTAGAGAATAGCGACCCTCTGCTCACAAACTTTCTCTTTTCTTCGGCAAAAAAATGCGTGTGAGGAAGAAAGTTATTTACCAAGAGCAATTTCCAGTACCTGTTTTGGGGAAAGGAGAAACTCTTCTTTAGGTCTTACGATGTGCTCTCCTCGACCACGTCTCACATACCGACCGTGAATAGGACATGTGTGGAGAATGTAGGTTGCCATGGCAACCACGCTAGGGTCGAGCCAGCAGGCGTTTTCATTTGGTGTAGCAATGTTGATCTGGTTAACGTCTCTGATATCCTCTCCCATCGACAACATGTTTTGAACAGCTAACGTCCCTGAAAAATGAAAATGCCACGGCTGAAGAAATCAGCTAAAGGGTGCTATGCTTTGAAATTCATGTCGAAATCTTCACAAGTTAACTCATTTCTATTAAGGCTTAAATGAAGAGGATGATGTGGATTTTGATTTCAAGTATACGAGAACCCTTTTTAAATCATGTTCATGCGTTATTGGAAGTCGTAAATTGAGTAAAGCACTTACTGAGGAGTTATAGAAGGAAGACATCCTTAAAAGGAAGAATTACGTAGAAATTAATATTAAGAACATGTTAACATCGAAAAGGTTTCACATTAGTAGTGTGCAAATGCACCCCATTTGAAGAAACACGTTTTGTGAAGTCATCATGCATACGGTATGTAACACTATTTTTCGAACAAACACGACAAATGATAATTTTTCTAAGTTTCACGACTGGAAGCGTCTGATTGATACGAACAGACGTCTTTCACTCAAGACGAACTTAATGTCGCTTTTGACAGACGTTTAACTCGTCCAGGCAACTTAGACATCCTTTAGTATAAAAAACAGCCATTTTTTCCGGCTGTATAGATTTCTCTAACGCCTCTACCCTCCATGAACCGATCCTTGAAGTCTCATTGAGTTCGCGGCCTAACTTAATATTGTCTTTACCACTCTATCACACGGTGAACCGGGGTATAAAGAGCTCAGTCAACTATAGGCTCCACTTAATACAGGTTTGACTGAATTTGTTTGATGTAACACACACTAGCTTTAATTTAAGAAGAAAAAAAGAAAGGTACTGGTATTGACAGTGTTTCTGACATACCTTCTTCGTTCACTGTAACCACCGAGTTGAGGCTGGAGGAGAAGAACCAGGGACCTAAACTCTGGACAACCGCATGTGCTTTTAGTGAAGTCACTGATATGCATTTTTGCAAAATCCCTTTAGCTTCGCATTTGTTTAGAAAGGCCCTCCACTCCGAAACGATGCTCTCCGAAGTAAGGATGGTAATTTCCTTTTCTTGAGCAAGAAGCGCTTTTGCAAGACAAACCATTGCTTCAAGCTGCCTCATTTTAACTCCTTCCGTAACTATAGCAACTGATGACGCATGGGAAAGGAACATCGCAGATTTTAGAAGAGAATCAGTCGGTTGCATGACACCATCTGTCGATTCTTGCATTTGCGATATCAGCTCGTTTCGTTTCGCTGTTATTTGATCGATGGCTTGTTGAGAGACTAGCGAAGCGAACTGCGGTGACTCGGAGAGAAAAACCACTTTGGGAGATAGATGATTTTGTTGAGATTCCTTCTTGCGTTCCTCGTAACACTCCATTACTCGTAGATCTGTAATAAATAAGGAACCAACGCACCTGGGAGATAAAGTGACAGCTATGCGAGGCTCTAGGACGAAAATTTTGACAGGGTTTAAAAAACCAATTGTAAAACCGATTTAAATCAAAGACTATGCACGCCATTGACTATTCATGAGTTGTCGAAAAAAGGTTTAAAAAGTAAGACAAAAACATACTTGCAGACGTGACAACTTCAGTCGCTGATATTCCACAGCCCCAGAAAATAAAAACATCATCTTCGCGAACTACTGGCCCGTCACCGAAAGGCGGATGTAAAAAGTCCTCTATCCCGATAATTTTAGGATCCCCGATATGAATAGGGGCGCCATGAGCAAAATCCAAGGGAGTACAGACCTCCGCTACTTTCTGTACGAATTCCCGTTGTATTGTTCGTAACGACACCACCATGTTCCCTGCGAAAGGTCCTTGCGGTAAGAAGGGGATATCTGAGGTGTATGTTGGAGGGTCTCTTTTCTCCATCATATGTCGAACTGGTACGTTTGAGGCCCAAAGCAAGTGGTCAAATGAAAAATTGCAGCCAAAGTAGAATGTAGCCTGAGATCATGACCTCTCCCTATTATCCCTTTATGTCTCTCACGGGAAGAGGGCATGATACATTTCTTTGTCGGATCACATGTAAAAATGCCAGAATCTGGACTTTTTTCTGATTGGATAGGAAACAATGCGGATGATTTGCGCTGTTCCGATTGGCCAAAATGACGCCATCCGTTAGTTGTTGTTGATTTCAGTCTGCATTTTTGCTTGCGTAATAAGCAGTGAATACACACGCGAGTTCGTTATAAATGAAATTTCTGCCCGCTCAGTTTTCTTGAATTTGAAGAATGCCTAAATAGAAGTTTCATCCATTGAAATATTGACCAGCTCATCGTATACCAAAACAGTTGCAGTTAAAACTTCACCGATCATTTGAATGCAATTTGATACCGGCAACAAGTTACAGAAGCGACAAACGGGTTCACTTTTCAAATAATCAATTCATGAATGGAATCTTGACCTGGTTTGACTGTATTTCCTCCTTCAGAAATCATGCTGCGAATTATTCTGAGCGATCTTCGCTTTCACAACACCTTTCAGTTCGTGAAATATGGTGCTTCAGCCTAATTTTTTTTCCACTGCTTTCGTAGTACAGAACGAAGTCAACGAGCTTTAACCAGTAAATTCTTTATTATTTGTAGCTATTCACAAAGGTACGACAGCTCCAGAGTATTTCATCACAAAAACAACACATTAATTTTTTTTTATTATTTTTTGCGAAGCGCCATCTGAACACGGACGTACTTAAAAAATTTTTTTCCCCTAAAACTGATCATGATTTCAAAAGAGACATTATTCGCGCCAAAATTTGATTCCCGTTTGGTAAACGCTTATTGGCTAAAAACATGACAGGTCAAGCAAACGGTAGATCATGTAAATTAGGGGGCGGTTGACTGCTTGTTAAATAAATGTATCAGGCGTTATTTTTTTCCCCTCTCGAGCCAAAGAAGCAAAAAAAAAAAAAAAAAAAGACGCCTGTTATTTTTTTTCCCTCTCGAGCCAAAAAAGCAAAAAAAAAAAAAAAAGACGCCTGATCTCAGGTTAAGTAGAATGTGACAATGTCTTCCCAAAAAATGTCTAGCAGGTCAGTAGCGTGCTTTATTAGGACTCCATCTTCACTGATTGCGTACAGTGGAAGGTCAGTTCTAGAAAAGGAAAGAAAAAAGAACGACTCTTGCCAGTTATTTGCTAGATGGAGTACAGTCAAGGTTATCTTAACATGAGTTACCAGACACCTCTACAAGACGGACAGCTGTATCAAATGGATAAGATTTAATCCACGTCATTCTTTGAACACATTCGCAGAGATTCCAACCCCATGTGATGGAAAATAGGGAGTAATTATTAGCGCCGAAGGCGCGAGCTTCTAGGGGGGGCTGGGGGCATGCTCCCCCGGGAAATTTTGCAAATTTAGGTTCTCTCAAGTTCCATTTCCTGAATTTTGACATCATTCCGGCCTGAGTTATAACATACCATAATGCTTTTCACGAAGAAAGTAAGTATAATATGAGTGTTTCACAGTGACAGATCGCCAAAAATTCTAAAGATTAGCAATTTTTTCCTAGTTTTCAGAATTTTATAATAAATCGGGAGAATTTGGTAAAAATCGGGAGAGCGGGAGGCAAGAGATCAAATCGGGAGACTCCCGATCAAATCGGGAGGGTTGGAATCTCTGCATTCGTCAGTCGTCTGATTCTATCAGGCAGGCACCAAATAATACCGGTCTCATCAATGCCATCTTACTAGAAACAGCTGACTGCCTAGTTACCAGAGCGAAAAAAACGGCACAAACGCTTTCTGCATTTAAAGGGAAGCGATGAAACAGATAGTGTATAAAAAAGAAAGGAAAAAACTCATCTCCTTTCCGTATTAAAGCCATTGTACCACTGGTCATCAACACATATCACAGAGACCTTTTGGTTGGCCTGTGTAGACGAGATGGCTGGCATTAGAGGAAACCATAACTCACACTAGATTTTTGCATTGGAAAGAGACTGAAAATTGTTAGAAGGAGAAAGGGCAGCGAATAAGGTCAATTTATTTAGGTTCAAACATTTCACACTTTTTTGGGGGGGGGGGGGAATTTCATTTTTTATGAAGTGAAACCTAAGCGATTGTCCCCCCCTTAAAGTTAACATAGCATCAACCTAAAAGAGGCGTTCACCTCCACATAAAGCAGTGCTAGATCCAGACCTTGAGATTAGGGGTGGGGGCTGGTCGTCCAGACCCTGAGATAAGGAGGGGGACCCAGTCTCCAAAAAATATTTTTCGACCATTTGGGCCTCAGTTTGGTCTAAAAATAAGGGGGTGCCTGGCCCCTTGGGCCCTTCCCCCAGATCCATCACCGTAAAGGGGGATCTGCCATCCAAGAGTGTTGGTTTGACAGAGACGTCGGCTTTGTGGGAATGACTAATTGTAGAGGCGTTTGCCCTGTCACAAGAAGGACATGGGTGCCCACCAAATCAGGATATCTGCCTTAGAGGAGTGTTGGGTTAACAAAGTTTCTGACCTTGCAGAAGTAACCCATTAAATTATAGGCAGCACTTAATACAGGTTTAACTGTAAAATTTGTAGGGGTATCTGCCTTGTATGGGTGTTGGTTCAACAGTCTTGCCGGCCTTGCAGCGTGCACTGTCTCATTGTAGGATTATCTGTTTTATATGGGTGGGATATCCAAACTATTAGGGTATCTGCCTTACAGGAGTGTTAGTTAAACAGAGATTTTGGCCTTGCAAGAGTGACCCACCCTTATAGGAGTGTGGGTGTCACATTACTGATCTGCTTCACAGGGGTGTCAGGTATATTTAACAGTTATTGCTCGAGCCCAAATGGGCTCTGAGTCGATAGCCTATGAGACTGAAGGCCAAATGGGCTATTGACTCAGAGGCCATGAGGGCGAGAGGAATAATAATATTGTTTTAGTAAAATCCAACTAGTTGGTCAAAAAATATCAAGAAAAATAACTTTAACTAGTTAAAGGTAGACTTATCCTTTTTTGCCACCAAAAAGCCGGCACATTGCGCTGCCGGGGGGCTATAACATATAACCCAGTAGTGGCTCAACCAATCAGAATGCAGCATTGATAATAGACCACTAGTTAGATTTTACTAAAGAGCTATACATGAGTTTCACATTATAGGGTTGCCTTATGGGAATGTTACCCTTTCAGGGGGGGGGGGGGGCATGGGTACTAAAACCAAAAAAGAGAGAAAAAATCAGAAACTTGACTTGTACCTAGCAAAATAATATCCTTGGTGAGGGCACCGGTATACATCAACATGTCTTCCACATACAGTTGCACTGACACTTTATTTATCACCTGGCAAATAAACTTGGTGTCTACATCGATATGTCTTTCATAGTTTCACTTACCTTACATCTGAATCAGAGGCCAAAGGCGGGGCCGACACCTCTCCAGGTTGACTGCGGTAGAGATGAGGAAATGCACAACTGTTCTTAGCACATAACAGTTCAAAGTCATCTGCCATGTTGGATGGCAAGCATGCAATGTTAGCTTGTAGATAACCAGCACAAAACTGGCTGCAGGAAATGTGGGTCAAATTATTCTTTCGAAACTCAGCACGTGCCTCTCTTGGATGCAACAGAGCAGGGTTGCATGCTGAAGTCATAATTATTCCCTGTTGGTTGTTACCTGGTCCAAGCTTACTTTCTTTCATATAATTCTGAAGAAAAGATTAACCTGATTAGCTAATTTAGCCAAGCCATTTTACGTTTGCCAACTGCAATCCATGTTTCAAGTATTCCCCATCATGATCTATACAACAAAGGATCTTTTAAATCAAAGCTTAATCCTCTTTTAATTAGCATTTTTCTATTTTATTAAACTGAGTAAATACTTCAAGGGCATGACAGTGGTTCTGGTAGCTTTAAAGACAACATAAATACAGGAAAGAATTATAGTGAAGGATCTAGTCATTTAACACTTGTTACATCTCAGTCACCCACAAACACTTGTGTGGATCCACTTTTTCCGTACTCCAAAGTCTGATGTCATCAGTCTAAGGTATACTTTTAGCCTACCTTCTGCAGGGGACAAGATCTTTCAAACTATACCTCCAAAAGATGGATCATTATTACATTTCCAAGAAACTGCCCACCTACCCCTCCCCTAAGCCAACATTAACACTTACTTCTCACTTAGGGCGAAATGTTTGCGCAGGGGAGGGGTATGTGGGCAGTTTCCCAGAAGCGTATAATGATCCCAAAAGATTGCTTAAAAACCCAAAAAGGACATGTAATAAAGTTAACCATCAAATTGTGATAAAAATTCTACTGACTACCCATACTTCCTTCAAAAAAAGCTCATGATCTTACCAGCCAAAAAGGCAGAGGAGAGTTAATGGAGTAGCTAGTGTCTGGTATCTTTAATTTGCCCTTTATTCTCCGATGCCCAAATTTCAAAGGCTGTAGCATTTCAAGGATAAATTTAAGCTGAGTCAAGGCCAAAACACACTATTTCCCCATTGATTGAAGGGAATAGGGGCTTACTGTAGTTTGCGAAACGAAATGGAGCGAAACGAAATGAAACGAAACGAAATGAAAATCTGTAGTCTGCGAAATGAAAATCTGTAGTTTGCGAAATGAGAATTTGTAGTTTGCGAAATGAAAATCTGTAGTTTGCGAAATGAAAATCCTCTGGAGAATGCCGACTTCAAATTCAGCGTGAACAACGGAAGGAACAACGGAGCAGAAGGAACATCGCTTAGCACAGCGAAGGCAACGCCGACAACAAGACACAGAGGAACTGAGAGGAATAGGAGATTGGAATCAGAGGCATTATGATCGTTTTACACTGTCGAAAACCCAGATTTCTTAGTTTGCCGGTTTCCCCGCCGATATATAGATCAAAGTCTGCAAAGTTCCAGCTCTGTATTACGGCCCGAAGAATAATAATTTTCGGGCGAACTGCACCGGGCCATATTTGTTCTTTTTTTTTTTTTCTTTTCCTAAATCCGGACGCAGAAATAATGCTAAATCTGCTTTTTAATACACTGTTAACAATAACACCACATAATACGCAAAAAAGAAGAAGAAGAAAAGAAAGAACAACGTATGGACCTTTAAGACGATATTCGCGGTGGGTCACCCATCCCGTTCGTAACCCCGACCGACAGGGCTTAACTTGAGCCTGAGCTTAAGTTAAATTTTTCTGGGCGAAACAGCTTTTTTGGGGGAATTTTCTGTTTAGAATATCCGAGTAGACGCAACGAGAATAGACTACGAGTAGTCCGCCATTTTTCCTACAACTACAGATTTTCATTTCGTAAACTACAGAATCTGTCGGCGTTGCCTTCGCTGTGCTAAGCGATGTTCCTTCTGCATCCGCGGTTTCTTGTTGACGTCTTCTCCTTCGTTCTCCAGAGGATTTTCATTTCGCAAACTACAGATTTTCATTTCGCAAACTACAAATTCTCATTTCGCAAACTACAGATTTCCATTTCGCAAACTACAGATTTTCATTTCGCAAACTACAGATTTCCATTTCGTTTCGTTCCATTTCGTTTCGTTCCATTTCGTTTCGCTCCATTTCGTTTCGCAAACTACAGTAAGCCGGGAATAGGGAGGGGGTTGGGGGGTAGTGGGGTTGTAGGGTCACAAAATTTTCCTTATATTTTCTATAATTAAGATCGTAACTTCAAAAGCATAATCCTTACGTTCTATCCCTGGTTTAAATTTTATCTTCCTTTGTTTCAAAATCATTAACATGCATTGCCATACTCTTAAACAATGGAAAATAAAATTCAAACCTGATCAGCATACTTCCCAACATTGGGATTCATTTTTTTAAAATACATGTTGACCGATTTTCTCAAATGGGCCATTTTCTCGATTAACTTCAATCGTCCTATTTGAAGATCATACTAGAAATCACATATGGTGAAATTCCATATACCTTTCAAGATATCCTGTCTTTAAAATTTTACAAAGAGTGCCGTACAATTTTGCGTGACTTGCACCAAAGCCGCTCGCTTTTGTAACGGCGACTTATGCTTTCACACTCGACCACTGATGAGCAGGGCAGATGGAGGACAAACCACTTGCCTCATGGATTGCCTAATTCCTATGTTTCATGAGTCAAACTTGAACAAAATAAACGTGTAAAAACAGAGCAAGTGGCATTCAAAGAAGCGGTAAACAGCAGGGTAAACATAGCATGCGAGGGTTTGTAACGTGACGGCGAAACTAAAGTGAAAAGACTGATGATGTCTGAGAAGATTCAAGTCTTCTCACAGCTTTTTTAAAGAGAAGAACGAGTTGCTCACCTCACAAACGCGGATCAGATTTCGAAGAAATACGCGAAACAGCCATTTTCGTGAGCACCGGTTTTTGCTCGATCGTTGTCGGGTTTCAGGTCTCCGCAAAACGTCATGCATGTCACGCACGTGTGTGCAGAGCCCTCTCCCTCCCCCCCCGGGGGGGGGGTTACTCTCATACATTACCTATACGGATATGTGCCGCCCAACGGGGTCTTGAATTTAGAACGGGGTATCCATTTCAGAGGCATTTTCTAGAACGGGGTATAATATTTCGAACGCACGAAAGCTCCAGTTTTGTTAGCAGCTATTTGAAATTATTCAAGGACAGATTGCTTTTAAAAATACGGTTCAATGCGTTAACAAGCAAACTGTTGTATTCTTCGCACCCTAGAATGGAGTATAAAAAATTGGCCCATTTCTAGAACGGGGTATGAGTTTTAGGGCGAATTCTAGAACGGGGTATCAATTTTAAGGGAAATTTTTTTTAGAACGGGGTGCCAATTTGGAGTCCCGGGCGGCACATACCCACACAAAAAATACCCAAGTGCCCCCCCCCCCCCGGGCTCCCTCCCCGTTGTTTTCCGGGATCAACAGAGGGAAACGTAATCGAGTGAGAGAGCATGTTTGTTTAAACGTCTTAACAACAACAATAAGCTGTATTTGCATGACCATAACAAAGTATTACAGTATTGCAAAAGCTACTTGAAATTACTCATTGATTCCTTGTAAATTAAATATTTAAAATAATTTGAAACTTATTAACCATTGTTTATCTCTAACCATCAGTAGGATTAATTATTCCGGAGATAAGTTTGTCTCTCAATTCAAAGCAAGTTGATATAAATGAAATTAATTGGATGTTAATAAAATAGTCAGTAGAATTCATCAGATGTGATAATAGGGACTCATGTGATTGTAGTCGTAGAAACGGTATTTTAGGTTCTAGTTTAGAGAAGAACATATCTCTTATCGAAGAGCAACTTGGACAATCTAATAAAAAGTGAGTTTCGTCTTCAATTATGTTACAGTTACAGAGACTTCCAAAAGCGCCCCCCTCGCTAAAAAGTCGAATAACTTCAAAACCGTAAAAACTGTGACCACCAAACTTGCGAACTAAAAATCGTTCAAAACCGCTCAAACTATCAGTACTTCTACAGCAAAAGGACGACAACATTTCGCAGGTAAGGCAATTCAACACAACGTTTATTTATACCAATAAGACACTGGCTTCTTTTCTTGTTTCTTTGAAACAAGTTGTTCGTTTTCACACTAGACACGGATTATCCGTCTGAGACGGGTTATCCGTTGGATAATTCGCGCCAGACAGATAATACGACTTAATGTGAGAATGGAACGGCTTTAAGTCTTGATGAACAATCTCTAACTTTATCCATCTGTTCATCCGTTAATTTTGACGGATTTTGAAGATGGTTTATCCGTCCCGAAACGGATAATCAGTTTCTAGTGTGAAAACGGCCAATGTGAATAAGCGATCAGTATCGCATATTGAGTACCTCACAACTGCTTCTCTAGGGACAACTACTATAGAAAAGGAATCAGTCTTAAGATATGAAATCAACAGTAAAAGATGATACAATCCCTTCGAAAACTGCAATAACGCGACCTGGGAGAACTTTTGAGAGAGCTCTCGTTTGTAAAGTGGCTGCCTTCATTCAACGCGCGCTCTATGTGTTTCAGGTCACGTGGTACGCATGGACAAGGAAAGGTTGTTCTAAGTTCGTAAACAGTTGATCGATATGCTATATAAAATACCATTTAAACACAGTCAGCTGCTGAAAAAGGTTGTTCCACGAAGTTCCTTCCTCGAGTCCCGCAGTTTAAAGAATTTTACAAAGTTCTGTAGAACAACGACTCCTTTCAGTTTATCCCAAAAGGAAGCAACTCTGCTGGAAGAAATACACGTTCCTCAACGGTTTCAAGGGTAGTGAATTGAAGAGACCATGGAATCAACTATAACTCGCTGAAGCATCACTCCAGGCAAGAACACGAAATATTTCACGAGTGCTTTGAATAGTTATCTGGAAGTTGAGTACTCTACAAGGTAAACTGGAATGGCCTAAAGAGGACAACAACAAAAATAGTTTAATTAGGTTACATAAAACATTCAATTCGCCATTTGCAAAATTTGCAATTCGCCGCCTCCCATGATGTTTACCCCCCTTCCCATAAACTGTCCTTTACTTTTAGAAAAAAATAAGTAATTTCACGATAGTTTCATCCATAAGAATTGCTATATAGACTGGTAACACTAAATTCCTCTCTTGCCAGGTAACTCTAGTTTCCAGCCTCACCTGTAAGGGATCAAACACAACATACTCTTGATGCGGAGGGCCTGGGGAGACAGGCGAAGGAGTGCGCCCACTAGTCTAATGAAAGAAAAAAAAAATAACCTCAACATTCAAACTTCAGCTCTGTACGAAATTCTGGAAGCTTATTGGCCGATTGGAGTGCGTTAATGGCCTAAGAAGGAAAGGATGAAGACAAGAAAAGAACTAGGCAAAAAGTGGTTTTGCTCTACTTACTAGTATGGAGTCAAAGCCAGGCGGAGGTAAGGACCTAGGTTAACAAAACAGAAAGAACTCAATTATAATAAAAGACGCGTATCATGTTCTCAGTTCAAGTCAAAGATCTGCCCACTTACCCCTCCCCTAAGCCAACATTTTGTCCTAGTGAGAAGTAAGTGTTAATGTTGGCTTAGGGGAAGGGTAGGTGAGCAGTTTCCCAGAAACGTATAATGATCCAAGATATGCACCCAACAAATCTCTGGTATCGGGACTTTTTTAATTTTAATCTTTCACTTCTAAGGGCGCGCAAGCCGGAAGAGGAAACCGTTCTATCGTTGCGCGTCCCTCGCATTCACTCGTACACCCAAATTCCCTCTTACTTTTCCTCTTCGAACGCTTGACACGCAGGCTTCGGAAAAGGTTGCTTAACGCATTGAAGGAACGGTTACTCTTTCACCTCTAACTGTGCCAGAAGACAATAAAACTTCCAGATTTCACTCACGTACAGTACAAAAGAACCCTCGAAATAGAATCATCGTAAAGAGTTGCTCAAGAACTTTTCAGATATAAATTATTACACGGTACGTAGGATTTCGTTTAATTTGTAACAAAGGATTACAAAACCTGTTATGACCTATGGTTTCTCATTCACTAGATTGCGACCATTTTTTCCCCCGGATAGATTTGGCTCTGAGAGACGGAAGTGTCAGAACGTATGACGCACTCGACATAAAACGCTTTCCTCCTTTTGCAGACTCTGTACGAGAGTGAAGGAGTGGAAAAAGACACTGTTTTGTTTTAATCTTACCTGCCACGATCCTGTACAACAACAGATTCTGTCAAACCAAGCCCAACGTTGCATAAAAGTAGCTTACCAGGCTAATACAAAGGGAGAGACAACAGAGAAGCCGGTTAGGATGCACACCACCCCAGCAAAGTGCATTTTGAAGTGTTGATGCGGACTAACTTGCATTAGTAATATCCAGCTAGTGGTCTGTTATCAATGCTACGTTCTGATTGGTTGAGCTGCTAGCCCCCTAGTGGCGAAAAGCGCGGGCTTTTTGGCGGCAAAAAAGGATTAAAGTCTAGCTTTAACTAGCTAAATTTTTTTTCTCGATATTTTTGACCAACTAGTTGGATTTTACTAAAACAATTATTACTCTCATCCTGATGGCCTCTAAGTCCATTCTGGCTCGAGGAATAATTGTTAATTATTTCTTTGGTTAATTTAATGATATTGTATGGTCGCAATATCAATATTACTCGATTCATGCAGAGTCTCTCTCAAGTACGCCAGAATCGAGCAAGTGAAAGAAAGGCGGCTTTGCTGGCAAAGTAGAAGGAGGCATGAACTTGAGAGTGAATTCAGAAGAGTCTGTCTTGAGAGTTGAGGAACTGTTCGTCAGAGAGGGGTTCAAACTCGATCCCAGGTTTCTCTCTTACTCATCCACGGAGGGGGAGAGAACATTGGGAACGAGATTGAGAGACTTGCCCTATTTATATGGAGATATACTACTTTTACAAGAAAATTTACCGCTGAAAAGGCTGCTGCTTGACAGGCCTGCATTGAAAAATAAAGACCTTTTCCATAGGGACCACGAACGAAATCTAAAAAGAAAATCAACACAATTAAAGGATTAAAGAGCAATCCTAAACATTAAAAGAAGCCAAGAACTACAACCAAAATCAAAACTGAGGAAAAACGAATTGACACATTATAAAATCCTTCGTTATACCTTCTTTGCTAAATCCTCGTTTCATGATCCTTTCTATTTGCTCATCACCAGCACCGCCACAAAAGTAAAGCTGCGTGCAGATAACAGGATCACCAAGCCTTTGAGTGCGTGAATCAAAACCTGTCTCCATGAAAGCGATGTGACATGACTCGACCTATAAGGAATTGGTAAAAGACATGAGGACACTGTAAGTTAGAAAGAACTGTTTCAGTCCTTAAAATGGGGCCATTTCGGTGTGTAGACTACAGTCCTATTTTTGGGGTCATGAATTTGGCCCCCTTAATCAGGGCCAATACAGTCCAATTACCTAGAGCTGATCTGCAACCACTGGCCAAAAGGGGTCCCAGCGAGGGCTGGAATAGGTGTTATTTTATTAAGGTGGGGGTAGGGGGCTGTCTTGGCTTAATTCGTTTGTGCTCTGAAGGCTCCAGGGGAGGCTGAATCAGACTTTGGCTTGCAGGCGGAGCTGATTTGGCACTTTGGGGCTGAAACAGATCTTTTTAATTTTCAGTGCACAGACATCGAAATGGCGGAGCCAAGTGTTCAGGGCCGTTAGGAGAGCTTCAACTTCATATACATACAGGTAAATATCTTCAACTTACGCCACACGAAACATACATACGAGCAACCACACACCTATGGGATTAGTATGAAAGGAATGTGTGTAAATCAGAAATACAAGAGGGATCAAAACTGTTTTACCTTCCTCACGCTACTAATTGTGATGTCTTTGTAGTTTTTTGTGGACGATAAGCTACGTTTGATCTGCTGAACAAGCTGTTTTTCACTGCGATTTGTAATAAATGATGAAACGAACTCTTCATCCTCTAAAGAGAAAAAAAGGAGGGAGAAAAATATTAACAAGGCAAAATATCTACTTATAGTTGAATACAAGCTAATACACAATTCGGTATTTGGCGCTTATAGGAACTTAAAAGAAAACTAGTTAGAGTCTGGGCGTTTAGAATGGCGTGTCGAAGGCAAATCACTGTAAATCCCATACTGATCTCGCGCGAATAGTGAAATGAAACAATCGACAAAGATCTGCTTAAAACGTTTATGGATAATAATTAGCTGAGCAGGACTTTTTACTATCAAAAGTTCATTCCGCTGTTTAAAGCCCCGTGCAAACGGACGCAACATGGTTGGGAGTTGTGGCGTCCGTTTTCACGAAGCTAAAAGGGTTTCTTTGCGCAACAACGCGCAACAACGCGCAACAACGCGCAACAGGGTGTGAAAACGTAACATATTACAATGTTGGGAGTTGTTGGCCAAGAATGCTGCGTCCGTTTACACAGGGCTTAATGATTCATTGATTTGTATTGGGCTTGCTTGAAACCAGGACTTTGGAGAGCGAGTCACACGGGCAAACTAATAGACCACACCGCTATAAATGTGGCAAAGTTTCAAGACTAATAAGTGATACTTGCGATACCGTCGACACGTGTTTCGTCTGCGAGCAAAGAGTGGAGATTGTTTGAGGCTTAAGTGAAAGTAAGAGGCGGAGTTGGAAGCTCAATGGATTTGGTGAGACGATTGCGGCTCAACAGCATAGTCATATCGAATTGGGGTTTCTGTTTATTCGGGCCGCTGATTATATCAAGCAACGGTTTTTATTTTCTTTTTCTTGACAGCTATACATCTTGCCATTTTTCATGCACATTTACATGTATTCGTTGTAAATCAGTCAAACATTCGCACCCTGAGGAACATCGCGAAAGTCACCATGGGAAATCGCTTCCAGATCCAGTTCCGTGTTGGTCACGTGTTTCTTACTCAGCATCTGAGCAAGGGCTTCATATAAGTCACCATCATCTGTAAAAGAAGATACGGACACAAGAAAAATTTGTCGTGCTGGGCACAAACTGTGGAAATGATCTGTCAGAGATGAGCGAACGGACAGAACAACAAGCAAAGCCTAAAAGAAAAGGTTCTTGCATGGAACATTTGATACGCCAGGGGTGGAGGTATTCTTATAAATATAAGCTACATGGGCATATTCTGGTGTGAACGGAAGGGATTTCAAGCTGTATAATCTAGTATTGGCTATACTGAAAAATCGAGGAGTTTTGATCTAGAATAGGGTTTCTATTGATCATTAGTATGATGAATAAGAGTAAGTGTGACTGCTAGGCCAAGGGGTCCCAGAATCAAAGCAGGCAAACTCCCACCTAAAATTCACAGACCAAAAGATTCGGGCTTTTGGGATTATCAGTTCACGGGACACCGTTTGTACTTATTGATTGAGTGGGAGGGCCGGACGGGAAAATATTTGGCTCGAGGTCCGTGCGTCCTGCGAGAACCAAATATTTTCCCGTCCGCCATGACCTAACTCAGTCAATAAGCAGTTTATCATATGAATGTTGTGTTTTTTAATTCTTCTGACGGAGCTGCAAACCCGCATCGATCAGTACGAGTAGTATAGGAGGGATGTTTTACTCCGGTTTTTTGGGGGGGAATCTCATTAAGGTGGGGGGGAATAAATTAACGTCGCTGACGTCATAGGCTATTGTCTTGATCTCATGAATAAAATGCGCAGGAATCTCATTAAGATAAGGTCGTGTGCTATTTAAAATTCGTTTAGGTTTTCTAGTTACTTTAAGGTCGATAAACGTCTTCGTTTTCTATTGGTTAGTTAGAAAATAAGAAAAGTTCTCATTGGTTAATTCATAGTGCCTGAGGAGTGAAGTCAAACTTGTTTCTGACTTAAAATCACTGAGACGTAACGTAATTATGCACTTCCTATTTCCTGCTGCTGTGATTGTCCTTGTTCCGGTTCACTGATTTTTGGCGGGCAAATCGTGTATATTAAAGAGGGTAAAGGCCAACTAGCTCTTTTTTTTAGACTGCAAGCAATGTTTTACTTACCCCTCTCCTTTTCATTTTTTATTTTCCTCCTCCTCCACAATTTTATCATTTTCCTTCCTCAAATTATTTATTCCCTCCTCCTCCTCCTCCTCCTCATTTTTATTGTTTTCCCTCCTCCTCCTCCTCCTCCTCCTCCTCATTTTTGTTTTCCCTCCTCCTCCTCCTCCTCATTTTTGTTTTCCCTCCTCCTCCTCCTCCTCATTTTTCTTTTCCCTCCTCCTCCTCCTCATTTTTGTTTTCCCTCCTCCTCCTCCTCATTTTTATTGTTTTCCCTCCTCCTCCTGCTCCTCATTTTTATTGTTTTCCCTCCTCCTCCTCCTCCTCATTTCTATTGTTTTCTCTCCTCCTCATTTTTATTGTTTTCTCTCCTCCTCCTCCTCCTCCACATTTCTATTGTTTTCCCTCCACCACCAACACCACCACCGCCACATTTTTATTGTTTTCCCTCCACCACCACCACCACCACCGCCAACACATTTCTAAAACAATAGAAATGTGGTGGCGGTGGTGGTGGTGGTGGTGGAGGGAAAACAATAGAAATGTGGTGGCGGTGGAGGTGGTGGTGGTGGAGGGAAAACAATAGAAATGTGGTGGTGGTGGTGGTGGTGGTGGAGGGAAAACAATAGAAAGGTGGTGGCGGTGGTGGTGGTGGTGGTGGAGGGAAAACAATAGAAATGTGGTGGCGGTGGAGGTGGTGGTGGTGGAGGGAAAACAATAGAAATGTGGTGGTGGTGGAGGGAAAACAATAGAAATGTGGTGGCGGTGGTGGTGGTGGTGGTGGAGGGAAAACAATAAAAATGTGGCGGTGGTGGTGGTGGTGGTGGAGGGAAAACAATAGAAATGTGGAGGAGGAGGAGGAGGAGAGAAAACAATAAAAATGAGGAGGAGAGAAAACAATAGAAATGAGGAGGAGGAGGAGGAGGAGGAGGAGGAGGAGGAGGAGGGAAAACAATAAAAATGAGGAGGAGGAGGAGGAGGGAAAACAATAAAAATGAGGAGGAGGAGGAGGGAAAACAAAAATGAGGAGGAGGAGGAGGAGGGAAAACAAAAATGAGGAGGAGGAGGAGGAGGAGGAGGGAAAACAATAAAAATGAGGAGGAGGAGGAGGAGGAGGGAATAAATAATTTGAGGAAGGAAAATGATAAAATTGTGGAGGAGGAGGAAAATAAAAAATGAAAAGGAGAGGGGTAAGTAAAACATTGCTTGCAGTCTAAAAAAAAGAGCTAGTTGGCCTTTACCCTCTTTAATATACACGATTTGCCCGCCAAAAATCAGTGAACCCCCAACAAGGACAATCACAGCAGCAGGAAATAGGAAGTGCATAATTACGTTACGTCTCAGTGATTTTAAGTCAGAAACAAGTTTGACTTCACTCCTCAGGCACTATGAATTAACCAATGAAAACTTTTCTTATTTTCTAACTAACCAATAGAAAACGAAGACGTTTATCGACCTTAAAGTAACTAGAAAACCTAAACGAATTTTAAATAGCACACGACCTTATCTTAATGAGATTCCTGCGCATTTTATTCATGAGATCAAGACAATAGCCTATGACGTCATCGGCGTTAATGTATTCCTCCGCACTCTAATGAGAATCCTCCGCAAAAAAGGGGTTAATTCGGTCCCTCCTATACTACTAGTACGCTTTCCTAGCAGGACCGTAAGTGTTTTTTCCGGCCTTATCACTTGACAGTTATAACCCTCATACGGGACTTTTTGAAAGGGTTTTTCAACAAAATTGCGCGCGAGGCTGTACGGGTTCCATGATAAATTAAAATTACCTTCAAAATCTTCATCATCTAGGTCACCATCTTTTCCCTGTATCTTCAGCGCAAGTAGCTCTTTCTCTGCAAAGAATCGACCAACTGCCTTAAATGAAACTGAAGGCGCGCAACTCAAATACAGTGAAGCCTCAAACGACTAGGTGTGGATAGGGCAGGTGACATGTTGCTTCGACACGATGCTGGGACAGGTCGCAGCGACAATTTGATTCCTATGCACTTAAAGGAGCTGTGTCACGAAATTCAGCCAAATTAGGAAATTAGAAAATGTCCGTTAAATTAAGAGAAACATAAAAATAACAGAATCAACAGATGTCACGGATGGGCAAAGCTGGAGAGGATTGAAACGGATTGAAATTAGGATTTTTGAAAACTGTTCAGCCTAACAGTTTTTCAACGTTGATCCCTGCTGCTTTCAACTTCAAAAATAATGCTCACGAGACATATTTGTTTGTCTCGGATCTCTGATGTTGTCATTTACATGTAATTTCTTTGCTTACTTTAAGTTCCATAGCGATTGAGGGCGAGTAATTGGAAAAATTAAACAAAATGAACTGGACTGCCGTGACACAGCCCCTTTAAGAATTGTCGTAAAAACCTTTGTCCCGCGACAAGTTACCCAAGTTCAAAGCGGTTTGAATTTATGTGAAAAATTTTTTAGGGGAAAAGAGCAAAGATTTCAATAAAAATCCTCTGATGTAGGCAAAGGGAATTTCTTTCATGACGAAGGGAATTGTCGTTATGACCTGTCCCCATGTATTCGTGTCGCAGCAGCCTGTCTCCTGACCTAAACACACGTGGTTTGTCACCGAGACCTGTTGAAGCCTGATGTGTTGCGACCTTCAAATATAAAAACGACGACATGCATAGTGACGCGTTACAAAACAAGACTTACGTAATTTGTATTTTTCCTTTTCAAGTCTCTCCTTCGCGCCTGTCAGGGTTTTAATAGCCTCGTCTTGGGTGTCAACCTACCACGGACACAAAATAGTGGATGGCAGTCTAAGTGAACGTTCGTTAAAATCCAAATCAAAGTAAGCACCAGTTAGCGAATATATTATGCAATCATCAGCTTATATTATTCATCATGAGTGGACGCGTAGTGCAAAATTATCAATTTCTTCGCTCCATATTAGCCATGCGAGGGAATCCAAGACAGTCCTGGATTCTAAATTCCAAGCTGCGGATTTCGGATTCCAGTTTTCGTTAGCGAGATTCTGGGGCCGGTTCCTCGAAAGATGGTTGAGTTTAATCCAGGATTAAGCCAAATTTTAAGCAAGGTTTTCTTACAAAATACTTTGTGTCTTTACTCCGAGATTCAGAGATGATAACATAGAATTTTACTCTAGATAATGCATAGGAAGGTAAATACAAAAATAGAACAAAACTTTTTAATCCTGGATTAGCGCTAAGCGGCCTTTCAGGAACCGGGGCCTGGACTTTTGAGCTGAATTCCGGATTCTAAATCACAGATTCTACAAGCCAAAATTTAGTGCCCGAATCCAGATTACCCTTACATCATGTACCTGGGGCGATTTTCTTTTAAACAGCTCGATACATGAACGTGGAACTTACTATGACTCTAAGTGTCTTAATCTCATGTTGCATTCTGACGATACACGTGGTCTGGGCTTGGTAAGCTTCCACGCTTTTTTCCCTCCTATAAAACAAGAGAAATCGGAATGATCTAACACTTATTTAACATTTGATGAAGAAGTTCTGAGACCTTTTTATGATAAAACCTGACGTAGCTAACTATTGTGGGAAAATTTTGTGTTAAAAATATCGAAGGCTTTCTGAAAGCGAGCAATTGAAATTATATCGATCAAAACTTTCTCCCACTACTGACCGATTCTGACTTCTCTTTGTGCTCCAGAATACGGAATCGTGTTGCCAAACCGTTCATTCTCTCTTGGCGTGCGGTGTTATGACGGTCTGGTTCGATTGGGGTACCTCAATCTCACTTTGACGCTTAACTTATTTGCTCAATAATACTTCATTAAAAGTAATATGACGAAAAAACACTCAGTTTTGGCGATTTCGCAGTTAACATCGAATATTTTATACGGAAGGGTATCAAACATAAAATCTTTAGCTATTTTAACACTTTCAGAAACTACAAAAAGTTGGCAAATTTCAACCCCATTCAAACCCACTAAATGGCAAGTTACGCACGCGTAAAAAAGCGTTAAAGAACTTGTTTCTACTTTTGAAGCCTTCAGAATTAGCGACTTTTGAAACCATTTAAGTAGCCTTAAATCAAAATTTTCCATCATAATTTCAACTTTTGTTAAAAACTCTCAGCAAAAGTACAGATACATTAGGCGGGGAAATCCGTCTGACTTCTTTGGAAAGGCGGAGGTGAAATGAACTAAAAAGATGAATCTTTTTGCTAAACAAATTGCCGACATTGTACCATTTTCTAATATCGTCATCCATGGCTCTAAGATCCTCTTCGCTTCTAAAAGCACCCGAGTAGTCAGAACCTAAAGCAACCAAAAAAGAAATGTTAAACTATCAATATTTTCGCAGTTTTATTATTATTATTTTCATTTTTCGGCAATATAACATAAACTGATCAACGTCCAACCTGTTTTGCAATATTGCTGCAAAACGTTGCTACAAGACAGGTTTGATATGGGTGGTAAAACGCGCAACATTGCTATTCAACTCGTTTTGCTCGTTGCAAGACAACTTGCATAATTTTAATTTGTTGCCCGTTTTCCCGCACCTTTAGCTTTGAAAGAAATAGAAACAACGAAGACCGCCGAGAAGAGTTTCATGAACTTTTTCCTTTAGCCGTATATAATTAACAAAGTATTTTTTGTATATATAATCATCAAACCTGGTTTGGTCAAGATACCGTTTTTCCTCGAATAATAGCCGGTAACAATTGTTCTTGTTGCCAATTTTTCCTTGCCAAAATGGGGTGATTATTCGAGAGACGGGTCTTTATTAAGGGGAGCGCCGACTATTTTTATTTTTTCTCCCGGCATATCATGCCTTTCATATTTTGTTAAAATACCCCAGTTTTGGACATATACAATGTAGGTGAAAAACCGTTTTAGTATGTACCACACAAGCTCAAAACTCGAGAACCAAACCTTTTAGCTAGCCATGTCAGCGAGCGCAAAAAGCAATACTGACAAATTTATTCAATTGTGAACAAGGGCTTTGTAAATGTTCTTAATTCTAAACAGGACTTATTCATAAGTTTGGTAGATAGACTCTAGATAGTATGCGCGAGATACCGTAAAATACGGAAAATAAGCCCCGGGGCTTATATTTTTCAAAGGCCCTTTTTGAGGGGCTTATTTTTGGAGGGGCTTATATTCGGAGGGGCTTATGTACGGAGGGAAATTTGCGTTTCAAAATCGATTGAACTAGCTTGTAGTGGGAGGGAAATTTACCATTTTTTGCTTTGTTTTACTTTGTATTCGAGGGCAAATTCCAATTACAAGATCCCGCGGGGCTTATATTCGGAGGGACAATTTAACGGAGGATTTTTTGCGTTACGATTTTGGGGGGCTTATATTTGGAGGGGCTTATACATGGAGGGGCTTATTTTCGGAATTTTACGGTATTTACGAATAGCGTGGTATCTTATACATTAATAGTTTGATTTTTTTGGCCTTAGATTTGCCCACTTAGGTTTGGGCATAAAGAGACAAACGTGAACTTACCAGTAAAGGGAGGAAGGTAACACATTAATGTGCTGTTTATCCAGTGATCTGTTAACTCACTAGTAAAAACAGTATATGACACTTTTTTAAAAAAGAAAAGTAAGCTAATCCCACTACTAAATGCAAGCATTAATTTTTTTTATCAATGATGCACGGCTGGTTCGGGAAGAATTTTCAAGACTCATTTGATTATAATGGGGGTGTATTTTACTAGTTAGAAAATAGAAGGGTTTAAAAAATTTCATAGATTCTCTGGGATTGCAAAGTTTTTATTCACAACTCAAAAATGGCCCTGTAATTGGCCACAGGACAAGTATGTCATGGCAATAGGCTCCACTAGGCAAACGTCATCCCAATTTCAGCTGCATGGTTACCATAGCCAGTAGGGAAGGAAGGAAGGAGAGCTTGCAACTATGTCTCTGTAATTTGAATTCCACCTCCAATTCCCCTGTGGCTCCCAACGACTGAGCTGTCAGATTTCGCCAATAAGCGCAAAGCGGAAATGAGCACGACTGTGAACAAACATTGAAGACACATGCCAAGGGTAATGATGTCATTACTAATGCCATCTCCACCAATCAGCATAAATTTTCACGTCGACTTTTTCGATGCAGATATTCAAATTCCAGAGATGTAGTTACAAGCTCTCCTTTCTTTTCCTGCTCCGTCGCCAGAGCGCCCCGGAGAGCTTGCTGCAAGCTAAGCTACAGTCGCAAACAAAGCAAAAAAATGGGAAATGAAAGCAAAGTAATGAGGATGGGCGAGAGACAGGGAAGAAAAGAAAGACTTGCTATGTAGGCTAGTGTTTGTACATCATCAACATGAAACTTTCGCCACAATATTGTCTTTCTTCCTACATTTACAGTAGATGACATAAATGAAAATCATAGATGTAGTAACCCTTCAGTGGTGAGGCAGTTAAGATCTTGAGGTCCATGCCTTAGCCGTGTGTCATGTTGTTTCCTTAGACTAGAAACTTTGGCCCATTTTGTCTCATTTCTCTCTAGGCTCATTCATTTCTGCTGCTCTCATGGGTGCACTATGAGAAGAGTCTTTTTGTGGGCTGAGGAGCATGGACTCATTTCCCAAACAGTGGCTGGTAATCAAGCCTATTTATGCTACAAACACTGGGATAAGGTGGGCCTCTTGCTAAAATGCTGCAGACTTTTTTTTACCTCACACTTTATGCATACAGTGCTTCAATTCACTCCACCCAGGGAAGTGGACCTGGCATTCAAATTGTTATGTCATGCTGCAGATTGAAACCTAGAGTGGAAAATAGGAGTGACCTGAAATATATTCCTTGTCTCACCTGAATCTGCTGCAAAGAACAACATCATCAGTGAAACCACTTCTCTTGAAGAATTCAACAGCATCATTATCTGCATACACGGCAATTGTATCATACGAGCCAATGATGGTTGGATCTTTGAGGGTCTGTGATATTAAAATAATTTTGAAGCCCATTACCAACAATAAGTTGCAAAAGGACAACATGCAGGGGGGAGGGGGTGGGTTCGCTGGTACTAGGAGCATTGACACCGCTAACGTGCGTGCTTGCATTTGAGAAATGCAAATTATATAAACAAGGCCATGAATGCACATGAGACAGCCAACTTGCATTGTTTATTGAGAAAACCTTGAAATATTTTTTGAGATGTCCTTTGGAAACTGCAGAAAACAGCTTGTCTTCAGAAAAAGCAGCTCTGTAGCAGTATTTTATGTATCCATGTTATATTTTGTCCACAACTTTTTGCTGCTTTTGTATTGTGCATGTTTCAGCCATGTTCTACTCTTCCGTGAATGCAAATGGCATAATATTTTAGCCTTGCTGCGCAAATCTAGTAAACATTAATAATTTGCTTCCTGCTTGTACAGGATAATGTCCTAAACTCTTGTCAGTGTTTCAAAATATTATTCTGCACAGAAAACAAACTGCTGCTTCACTCACCTCAAGTAGGAACTTCCCAACTCCTGATCTCTGACACCTTTTCCTGACTGCTAATAAGTTTAGCTGAATCACTTTCTCTGATGGCCTCTGACGAGTTATACTGACACGCAAATAATTTAAGGATAAAAAAAAAAACTTCCTTGATGTATGCAAATAAGGACTCTCTTATTATGAAGTTTATTATTCTTAGTAATAAAATCACACAAATCACAATAATAAATGATATTGAATAAATATACCATACCTATATTCACGCTCAAATGTTGCAGCTGCTATAATCAATGATTCAATTCCTACACTTGACTCTGAAAGTATCAAATTACATATGGTAGAGCTAAAAAACTAATTTAATTCATGATTTAGGTCCAATGTTTTTTTTATTGGTAAAATATTAATTTGTTTTAAAATTAAGGTACATTAATCATTTTACTTCAAACCAGTGTATGAGAGAACACTTTTTCTGCCATTTGTGATGACACGACATTAGTATTAGAAGAAGGAAAAAATAATTAAAGAGAATTTTGATAGATGTTATCAAGCCTGTTGTAACATACATTCTGAAATGTACCTTCACCACTTTTTCTTTCAATTCTTCTTTTCCTAGCTGCTTCAACAAATTCTTCAGCCCCTTTTGAGAAATCCTCATCTTCATTCTCACTAATCAAGTAATAATTATATTTCAATATCATGAGTGATTAGATTATGTCTCTGTATTACTTACTGTTAACTATTAAAATATCATCAAAATTAATTTTTCAAGTATGAACAGTATCAGGTAAGAAGTTTATCAGCAACCACAAAGGGCTCATTTTTGTTAGAAGTATAAATCTTGGCAAGAACAGTCACTGGTCATGAGTTTCTCAGTAAAATATGGTAAATGGCCCTTTTCAGACCTGACATCTATGATCAATTTTTATAATGTTAACCACTTCTGACTGTTTTAATGTCTCTAGTCAATACTCCAATAGGCACAAAAAAATATTGACCATCCCTCAATAGCACATTTGCCCCTTTATGTCAGCTTGTTCATTTATACCTTTCATCAGATCCTTCACTGTCATCTGTGTCACTAAACACTCCATCAAATTTCCCTGGTTCTACATCCTTCTCTTTTCCTTTTGCTTCATCACTTCCATTTGCTGTTTGATTCCCTTCAGCTTTATTTTCTACCTGATCATCAAGTGCAATTTCACCGTCACAATTATAACTAGCACTGATTTCTGAGGAGCACTTATCACAAGTAGGTGCTGGTTTTGAAATGTTCTCATCTTCTTCTGAACTATCACTGTCAGCGTCAGAAGTTTTGTCTTTCGTGCTTTGCCTATCATTCCACGACACTTGCTTTTGAAGCTTTTTTGTTTCCCTTTTACTAACTGGACCTTGGCCATCAGTCATACATGAAGTCTGTGTTTCCAAAGATTGCTCTTGAAAAAGACCCTCTATCGAAGGATCATTGTCAGCTGAGATAAAACTCTCCTCAGGCTCATCTACACAGTCATCATCTTCTGGACTTAAACCTTTCATCTCCCTCAAGACATCTAAGGAAAAAGACAAATAAACTTGAATGTATGATATTCCCCTCTACAATGAATGAGTGTCTGAAAAAAGATGTTGACGTTTTTTGTGCCCCAATTCCCACCCTTCTCTGTATAATTATAGCCACCAAACCACCTTGTGGGAACAATAGATAGAACAAGAAACTAAAGTACAGTAAAACAAGAAACATGGAGTTAATCAATTAGATATTCATAAAGTTGACGTTTAATATTAGACACACACATAACAAACGGTATGCGGCTATAGATGCTGTAAGGTCAAAATTAAATTGTCGTTAAAAAATTTTCAACCCGGCTGATTTTCAATTTCCTTTACCTACTAGGCTTAAATGTTCATAAATCAAGTCTAGGAGAGAAAGGAGATAGAAATTATCCCAGGCTAAAAAAAGCTGAATTTAATTCTTACTTACCCCGGTATAAAAATATTCATAAGTGAAAGGTTTGAACCCAGGAGTCATTTCAAAAGTAGGTTGAGTTTGATCGTCCGGGTGAACGTAGTCCTGAATAGGACTGTTGTTGTTGACAGTGACTGATGTTTCGACAAACTGTGCGGTAGTCATCTTCAGAGTCAAAGTGAGTTGTACCATGTCAGTTGATGGTATTTTCCTCTGGCTATTGACCTGATTGGTCAATTACGTCGCGATGTTATTGGTCGTCTGTCAGTTAAGCCGTGATATTATTGGCTATGAAGACTTGTAATCAGTAATTGCTGCGTTTCGATCCGTGTATTGTCACAGTTAAAGAGTCGTCTATTGTTAGTCAAATTGTCAGTTTTCATTCATACCGGTAATTATAAATAAAAAAAGTCTCATCATTATACCATTGAAATCTCTCAGTAACACCAACGTTTTCGCCCATTTCCCGCAAACAGTCGGATACAGAACTTCAGGTGTGATTTCAGGAAGACAGTTATCATACAAAGCTACAACAGCATGGAGCAACTCTTGATTTGAGATCTGAAAATAAACTCAGATGTCTTGTAAACAATAACAAGCCTCCTTGGTTACCACAAATTCAGCTGACTTTCAGGTCAAATATTAGAAAAGAAAAGCGCTATACCCCTTCGACTGCAATCATGCTTGATTCCAGTAATCTTTTGAATTCTACCAGATACGGTCGGACGCGAACCCTTCGCTTCGATTTCAAAGAATAGAAGCGGAACTTCGCAGGCATTCTCCAGCAAATCGAATTCACCGCCATCTTGATTTCATGTGAGCCACCGCTGAATAGCATTAGTGTGGGCGGCTTTATTTCTTTGAGACTCCGCTGTACTTTATGATTGCGGAAATAAGGACATGGACAGACATGCGCAATCCATCCGGTTCTTGTTACAAAATGGCGACTCAATGTCATTTACAAGTCGAGTCGATATTGTTTTGGGACAAAAATGGAACTAGTTATCATAAAAATGCGTAGACGTAGAAACTTCCATAAAATTAGTATTTCTTGTAGCTGCCTGTTGTCTTGAAAGTTAACGAACTTTGAACATGGCGGAGCTATTTCGCTCCGCGTTTAACTACATCAGTCAAACTGGGAAATCGGGAAATGACTTTGTCGGACAGTACGTGGAACTCGGGCCTGTGCAACTTCGAGTCCGGAAAGTTGTTGCAGAAGGTAAGACCGTCATCGTTTTTATTAGACAGTGTTTATCCTTAACTCGCTCAGTTAATAAATTTAGTGCAGAAACTACATCGTACCAGGAAGCCCAAAACATGCCGGAATTCGCGTGCAGTGATGCTTGTTCAAATAACAATTTTTAAACGTGACTTACACTGTTTCTAGGAGGGTACGGGTTCGTTTTTGTCGCTCAAGACACATCAACAGGAAAAGAATATGCTTTAAAGGTAGGTGTTTTTACCGACTGTTTTTGCTTAAAAGAACATTAATGCCTTCTGTTTGTTATCAAATATAAGGAAACAGAGGAAACCTGATCCTTTTACGTAACACCGTAGTGTTATAAATCATGCAAAAGATTGATAGATCACCATGAGTTTGTAAAACAGGTTGAGTTACACGTCACTTGTTCATTTGTTGTGAGTAAAATCATGAAATCAACTGTTATCAAATAGAACATTTGTGCAATTCTGTGCATTGCAGAAAATTTCAGCAATATATATTAATTCTATTTTGTAACGGTGTATTTTGATTATAAAACTAATTTAATTTACAGGTTTCCATTAAAATTAATGTAGGTATCTCACTGTTGTCATAATTATATAAACTGTAGACAGGTATAAAATTAACACATTCATAGCTTTTGTCACTATGAGTAAAAATAGTGTAGTACACATAGTTTTTTTCTACTTGGCCATTTGTCATTTGTCATTAAGTATTTCTGACACCTTTTCATTCCCCACAAGCAACTCTCATCAGAAAGAAAGCTTTCTCTTGTTGCTGTTTTATCAGCAAGAAAATGAGTCCTGGCCATTTTTTTGTTTTTGACACATTGTATTTTTTTCAGCGTCTCATGGCTGGTGACGAAGCAGCAAATAAAGCCATTCTCAATGAAATAACAGTCCTTGTATCCTTTTCAATATTTTTGTAACACTTTTTAGTTTGCATATGTACTATTCTTTTCATAAATAATCCAAAATACAATGCAACCCTGTCATAAGACTATGCTGTTGTTACAAACACTCTTTCTGGTCTGAACAAAAGTCCACTAGCATCTTCTTGTTCTTCAGCCTCGTTAATACATTGTCTTCACTGTCTTTGAGATACCGGTATGTCCAGAAATGCACACATTGGCGAAAATGGCAGAAATGGTGATTAATCGCCAAACTGTTAACAAAAATTCAAATGAGATGGCAAAGGGGCCCTTTGGAAAGTGGCAATTTTGTCGATGGCCATTGCATGCATTTTTGGACATAAGGGACATAGGGGCAACAAATGAGAATTTGAATTTTGATCTTACAGTTTAAAGGTTTCAAGAAGAAAAATGGAGGCTCTGCTTCTGGGTTGTCTGGTTGGAAGATCAACAATCAGACCCCGGTTGTTCAGACGATGGATAGCACTATCCACCGCATAAATTGCTACTCAGCGGATAAGTATTGGGGAAAACAATAGTGGTAGGGATTTATCCAGTGGATAGAGCTATCCACCTTTTGAACAACTGGCTCCAGAGTGAAATTATTTGCCATCACATAGTTTGGAATGGTTTATAACCATTTTGTGATGGAGTAAAGTACAGTCAAACCCTAAATTATTAAACTGCCACCTTGGAGGAAGGGACAGGTAGCTACTTAAAAAAGATTAGCTGTTCAACAGAAGTGGTGTTCTCAGTGATTTACAGACAATTTAATTGTTATTATCCCATTACTCTGGTTAACAGGGTAACCAACATTTTATGGCTTAGCTAGTGGTGGTCAGGGTTGCACTGTGGTGAATGAACTTGATACACTGTAGAATAAAAAATGTTAGTCACCCTTAACAGCTTGCAGAAACGTCTTCGAGGACATCCCAACATAGTGCAGTTCTATTCTGCTGCATCTCTTAGTGAAAAAGAAACTGAGCATGGCATGTCTGAATATCTCATCTTAACTGAGCTCTGCAGTGGTGAGTACTTTGCTCTTATTGTTTCTAGGTACATGTACAGGTAGCAAAACATAACTATAGTGGCAGCTAGTTTGATCCCAGTAGTGAAGGCATAAGTTATAAAATCGTTATTAAAATTTAAATACACTGTACATTTGATGCGGGGCACAAAAAAGGACTGTCCAGTAGCCCGGGGTCTTAGTGGAGCAACCCATTCATAAGGAGTCATCCAATGGGTAAAGAACATTATGGCAAGGGGTTTGGTACAATTATTGTACAGTGTAGGACAGCAGCATGACTGCTCTGGGCAAGTTAACTTCAGTGACAGCTTGCCCAAGCAATTGATTCTTTAAATTTTCATCACACCAGAATGGGAAATTTATTATATGGATTATTGGGCTAAATGCTGTGATTTTTAGCATGCAATTCTTTTAGGCAAGGGGCCCAGGGGGTGGGGTTTGGGTTGGAGGAGTGGGTGGGCAGGAGAAGCAGGGGTGAGGGGATGAGCTTTAGCCCCAACTATGCAATCCACTAGTGGAAAACTGGTTTCCTTGTCATTTGCTTTTACTAATTTCAAAAAATTCAATTACTCATCAGGAGGAGAGTTGATAAAACTGTTGCAGGAAAGATATGGCCAACCGTATGCACCAGATAAAGTACTGAAGATGTTTTATCAGACGTGTCGTGCAGTCGCTCACATGCATAAACAGACACCACCAGTTATACACAGGGACTTGAAGGTGCATAACTTCATTATACTGTACACTGTACATTCTGTTGAGTCTACTATTGTAGCGCTTTACTGCCATTCTATGCAGACACAACCAATGGTGTTATCTAAGACTTGACTCTAGGGTAATACTATATTACCATTACATGCATTTGTCCCCAAATTCCTTGAGTAACACTTTCTTGTTTGTACTGAAAGATGTTGATATTATTTTCTGATATTGTCGTTACTGTGTTATTCTACAGTGTTCTGATTTGATTGGTTTTCCTACCTCAATCCTCAAAACTCAATGTGGAGCTCAAAAGTCTTGGAAAACAACTTTTACACGTGTGCTTGATTTTCCAGATTGTTTAGAATCAAGTATTATAAATCTTCAGGCACAAGGAATAAAGCATTAGCTTTAGTTTTGAAAGGCATTAATTTAGTAATTCTGTGTTCATCAAAACTTGTTTTCAGGTTGAAAATCTTCTCATCAGTAGCAGAGGACAAATTAAACTTTGTGACTTTGGTAGCTCCACTACAACACGGGTCACCCCAGATGACTCTTGGACAGCACTGCAGCGAAGCCTTGCAGAAGATGAGGTAAAAAATAAGTATGTTAGGGTTTTGTTTTAGTTTGTCTAAAGCAGAAAACATGCACTCTAGTAACAGTGATTGAGTTCTCACACTTTGTTTTGACTGTTTAGATTCAGCGCAACACAACCCCCATGTACCGAGCACCAGAGATGATAGACCTGTACAGTAACATGCCTGTAACAGAAAAGGCTGATATCTGGGTGAGATCTTAACTTTTGTCATTAAGCCAGTTCTAATAACTTCATGAAGACTTGTACTCCAGATGCAATAACGAAGTTTAGCCAACAGTGCATAATTAATTTAAAACATGTCTTCTGGTCTTGTTTTCAAACTGTTTGATGTGTGTTCTGAAATGTTATTGCTCAATGGCAGATTCAGATCTTCAAGGAAGTAGGGTGTCTTCTTATCTAGACCCCAACCCCGGCATCACCCCCTCCCCTACACGATGTAGATCCCGAACTCTTATGAGAGATTTCTGTTTGACTTGTTACGCCTTGCTCAGGGGTGGATCCAGGAACATTTGATTGGGGGGGTCCAAACTTTGGTTCAGAAAGGACTGTTGAACTTTTTTGTGGCAAATTACTTCTAACAGATACGACCACATTTTGTGATATTTGAACCCCGGTCGTCATTGGCATTGGAAATACTGCGTTATGAGCAGAGGTGAACAGATCATACAAGGGTACCCAAAAACAAACTTACATTTTTTAATACCCCTGGAATTTAGTATAGTGGCAAAATGCAATGCGCATTTCATTAAAAAAAATAATCCATTTGAGAAGTAATACAGCATCCTGTCAATGTAAGAATTTCAGTCTCAAACAAGCGACAGGTCTGATGGGGGGGGGGGGGGTCCAGACCCTCCCCTGGTTCTGCCACTGTTACCAGGATTCAATATGCACCTTTTAATAGGCAAAGACCAAAGACTACTGCCACACTTCACCAAGAGTAACTAGAAAAGAGAAGAAAGGCAGATGCTAAATTTAGTTTTGCTCTTTTGTTCTTTCCAGGCCCTTGGTTGTGTTCTGTTTTATCTTTGTTTTATGGAGCACCCCTTTGAAGATTCTGCAAAGCTTAGAATACTTAATGCCAAGTACACCATCCCAGAAAGTGACACCAAGTATACAGTGTTCCATGACCTGATCAGTAAGTATACATGAATTAACTCATCAACATTTTCTGTAAAAAAAAGTTGAACCTCTCTACACCGGCCACCTTGGGCAATTTGGACAGAGAAAAGTGGTCATTGTAGATAAGGTGGCCATATTTGTGGGAAGGTGGGGGTGTTATGTAACATCACTTTTGGGGTGAAAGTTAGAACAGCTGTCTTTTATTTTTACATATTTTAAAATACTTCATACAATCAAAAACACATCTGTAAACAAAAAGTAATCATTCAAAACAGCAGTGTTAATAAAACAGATCAAACAAGTTACGGTGAGTACATCTTGTTGTACATGATTTGTTCTGAAATGGAGATGTTGTTATGGCATTTTGGACTGCAGAGTAAATAGTGGCACAGTGTCACTCAGTGGCCATTACAGAAAGGTCAAAATAAGTGTGAATGTACTTGTATGTAGTGTTGGTCAGGGTAAAACATAGGTGTTTTTGGATAGTTTGCAATTATATAGAGATGGCATAAGTAGTATGGTATGGTATGGTATGGTAACTTTATTTATACACGGTATTTCCTTTAGGTACATTTACATTCAAGTACAGAAAAACTAACTTCCTAACTAATCTAAAATCTAAAATCAAAGCTAAAATAATAAAGATGAAAAGAAAACACCTGCTTTTCAAGGAGGCCGTGTGTAAAAACAGAATATCGCTAATTAAATTATTTGTCAATCAAAATTTATGTCTCTTAATTTTCCCTTAAATATACTAGGGGATGTCAATTGCCGCACCTCCAG